GCGTTCACTGCAGAAGGTCAAGAATTGTAGGCTTAAAGGAATATATGATTAGGCATTATACGTATGACAACAGCCCGGAGTAAGAGGTACATCATTGCAAAGAGGACTGGGGAGGGGTAGGTAATTGTGCAACAGTGAATGAATATATTAAAAAAAAGGAACTGGGGGAGGGGGAGGGAAAGAGAGGGGGTAAAATGTGTAACAATGAATTAATGAAAATCTAACCTTTCTGTAAACATTCATTAAAATCCCAATTAAAATACAAAAATTATTAAAAAAATAAAGAACTGCAGTATTCTATACAGACTGAAGCTCAACATCAAGAAAATATTTTTCACCACGATGTCAGTTGACAGCACCAAGATGGATGGAGGATGGAGAAGAGATTGAAACTGTTAACAATTTCAGCTTGCTCAGTTCCACAGTCTACAATCTTGGTAACAGCAGTTAGGAAATCAAAAGACAAATTGCATTAGGAAAATTTGCTGTCAGGGACCTCTCCAGAATGCTGAAAAGCAATGCTGTCAGTCTAGAGTCTATCTAAGGTACGCCTAAGGCACAACTTCACAATTACTTGCTATGCATCAGAGAGCTGGACAATGACTAAGGATGACAGAAGAATTGATGCCTTTGAATTGTGGTTCTGGAGAAGAGTACTGAACATAACATGGACTGTCAAGAGAACTTATAGGCCTGTCCTGGAAAGGGTGAAATGTAGTTGCTCCTTGCAGGCAAGGATTTTGGAGTTCCATCCAACATACTTTGGGATGTTTCCTGAAGACACCAGTCCTTGGAGAAAGTCATCATGCTAGGCAGGATGGAGGAACATCACAGGAGAGAAAGATACTGGATGAGATAGATTGTCACAGTAACTGGGGCAACAGGGGGTAGGTGTGTCAGTGACAGTGAGACTGGGTCTGGACAGGGCAGGGTTCAGAGCTGCTGTACAGCGTCACTATGAGTCACCGGAGACTTGATGGCACATAACAACAACCACAACACCACTTTCATACTATTTTAAGTTAAAAGGATAAAACTGTATTGCAATAAAACATAATGTTAAAATACAAATACATTCAGACTCTTGACTCCGATAATTAAATCTCACTTTAAAAGAAAAATATTTTTCTAATTAAGCCATTTAAAAAAATGCAAAATCCTCTTAAGAATTGTTGCTGTTATGTGCCGTTGAGTCGCTTGCAACTCATAGAGACCCTATGTACAACAGCCCTAAACCCTGTTCTGTCCCGTGCCACCTCACTGTCTCCAACACACCCACCCCTATTACCCCAGTCCCGGGATCAATTCCCCTCATAGAGGATCTTCCCCTCCTGTGCTGTCCCTCCACCCTCCCAAGCATGATGTCCCTCTCCAAGGACCGGTCTTTCCTCACAACATGTCCAAAGCAAGTTAGATGAAGCCTCAGAATCCTTGCCTCTAAGGAACCGCTCGGTTTAACCCTCTCCTGGATGAATCTGTTTGTTTTCTTAGCAGTCCATGGTACCCTCAATACTCTTCTCCAGCACCGCAGCTCAAAGGCATCAAATTCTCCTATCCTCATCTGTCGTCTGACTCTGTGACACATAACAAGTGATTGCAAAGACCATGGCCTGTATCAGATGCACCTTAAGTCTCCAGAGTGACACCATCATTTTTCAGTACTTTGGAGGGGTCCCTAACAGCAGATTTTCCCATGGCAATATGCCTTTTAATTTCCTGGCTGTTGGTGCCAAGAGTGCTGACTGTGGAGCCAAGCAAACTAAAGCTGTGAACAATCTCAATCTCTTCACCATCCATCCTGATGCTGCCAATTGGCCCAGTGGTGAGAATATTTGTCTTCTTGACATTGAGCCTCAATCCATATTGGAGGCTGCAGTCCTTGACCCTCTGCAGCAAGCACGTCAGGTCCTCCTCAGTTTCAGCAAGCAGGGTTGTGTCATCTGTATAACGCAGATTGTTGATAAATCGTCCACCAATCTTGACCCCACATTTCTCCTCATAGAGCCCAGCCTCCCAGATAATCTGTTCTGCATACAGGTTGAAAAGGTATGGAGACAGGACACATCCCTGGCATACGCCCTTCACAATTTTGAACCATGCAGTGTTTCCTTGCTCTGTCCTGATGATTGCTTCCTGGTCCAAGTATAGGTTTCTCATTAGCACGGTCAAGTGTTCTGGGATTCCCATTCTTCTCAGAGTCAGCCACCGTTTGTTAGGATTCATACAGTCAAACGCCTTTGCATAATCAATGAAACACAGATAGACATTCCTTTGGTACTCCCTGTTTTCAGCTAAGATCCATTAGCTACAATATCCCTAGTGTCACGCCCTCTTCTGAATAGATTTAAAAAAAAAAAAAGCAAAGGATCTGATGCATTGAACCCTAAAGATCAACGATCAGGTGAGCTGTGGGATGACATCAAGAATATCAATATCATCCTTGAAGAGAGCGAAAGGTCATTACAAAGACAGAAGAGAAAGAAAAAAAATTGAAATGGATGTTAAAGAGACTCTGAAAATTACACTACACCATCGAGAAGCCAAAACAAAGGGAAAACATGCTGAAGTAAAAGAACTGAACAGAAGATTTCAAAGGGCAGCCTGAGAAGACAAAGCAACGTAGTATAATGGAATGTGCAGAAAACTGGAATTGGAGAATAAAAAAGGGAAGAACTTGCTCTGCATTTCTCCAACAAATTTAAGTCTTGAATTACAATACTAAGAGCTGCCATGGGCAATATAGTGAATTATCCCAGAAGCAAAAAAGAAGATGGAGGGAACCCACAGAGTCACTGTACCAACAAAAACTGACTGACTGACACAGAAAGAAAATCAAGAAGTACCATATGAGCACCAGCAGTCAGGAAATCAAACGACGAATCACACTGGGAAAATCTGCTCTCAGGGACCTCTCCAGAACACTGAAAAGCAACGATGTCAGTCTAGAGACTAAGGTGTGCTTGATCCAGGGCATAATTACTTGCTATGTGTCAGAGAGTATGACTAGGGAAGAAGAATCGATGCCTTTGAGTTGTGGTGCTGGAGAAGAGTCTTGAACATACCATGGACCACCAAGAAAACAAATACGTCTGTCTTGGAGAGGGTGAAACCAAGTTTCTCCTTGGAAGCTAGGATTCTGAACTCCAGCTCACATACTTTGGGCACACAGGAGGGACTGGTCCTTGGAGAAGGTCATTATACTTGGAAAGGTGGAAGGACAGTCCAGGAGAGGAAGACCCCCGGATGAGATGGAATGATACAGTAACTAAGGCAATAGGTGTAGGTGTGTTGGAGTCATTGGGACTGGCTCAGGACAGGGCAGCTTTCAGAGCTGTTGTACACAGTCGCAGGTGATTTGATGGGACATAACAACCACACCATATGACCAGGAGCCAGTGATAACAAAGGAGGAAGTGGAAGCTGCACTATAGGCACTGGGGGAAAATAAGGCCCCAGAAATTGATGGGATACCAACTGACTGACTTGTTTCAATTAAAAGACTTACTGGTCTGTGCCAGGAAATTTGTAGGACAGCTGTCTGGTCAATTGTTTGGAAGAGGTCCATATTTATTCCCATTACCAAGAAAAATGATCCAAAAGAATGTGGAAACTATCAAACAATATCATTAATATCATAAGAAAGTAAAATACTGCTGAAGATCATTAAAAAATGGTTAGAACAGTATATCGAGAACAGTATATCAAGCAGGATTTGGAAGAGGCATGGCACCAGGGATATTGTTGATGTCAGATGGATCCTGGCTGAAAATAAAGAATACCAGAAGAATGTCTATTTATGCTTTAATGACTATGCAAGGATTTTGTGTGGATCTTAACAAGTTATGACTAACATTCAGAAAAACCGGAATAACAGAGCATTTCATTGTGCTCAGGTGAAACCTACACTTGGACCGAAATGCTATTGTGTGAACTGAGCAAGGGAATTATACATGGTTTAAAATTAAGAAAGGAGTGCATCAGGGTTGTATCCTGTTGCCAGAGCTATTCAATCTGTATGCTGAACAAATTATTCGAGAAGCTGGACTCTGTGAAGAAGAACGTGGGATCGGGATTGGAAGAAGACTCATCAATAACCTGTTTTATGTAGATGACACAATCTTGCTTGCTGAAATTGAGGAGGACTTGAAGCATTTGTTGCAGAAGATCAAAGAAGACAGCCTTCAATATGGATTGCACTTAAAGTCAAGAAGACAAAAATTCTTATCACTGGACCAATAGGCAACATCATGATAGATGGAAAAAGATTGAAACTATCAATAACTTTATCTTACTTGAATTCACAATTAGCACCTGTGGTACCAGCATCCAGGAAATCAGGAGACATACTGAACTGGGAAAGTCTGCAGTTAAGGACCGCTCCAAATAATTGAGGAGCAATGATATCAGCTTGAGGACTAAGGTGTATCTGATTCAGGCCATGGTCTTTCCAATCACTTGCTATGCATCTGAAGAGGAATTGATGTCTTTGAGCTGTGGTGTTGGAGAAGAGCAATGACTATCCTATGGACTGCCAAAAGAACAGATATGTCTTAGAGAAAATGCAGCCAGAATGCTCCTCAGAGACAAAAATGATGAGTCTTTGCCTCACACACTTCAGGTGTGTTGCTGCAAGAGGCTACTTCTTGGAGAGGGACATTAAGCTTGGAAAGGTGGAGGGTCAACGAAGGAGAGGAAGACCTTCAACCAAGTGGATTGACACTTGGGCTGCTGCAATAGGCCCGGGTGCGTCAGGAAGTGTGAGGCTGGTGCAGGATAGAACAGGGTTCACATCTGTTGTTCATAGGGTTGCTATGGCTTGTACTCAATTAGATGGCACACAACAACAACACTTAATCTGTGACAAGTGAGAACAGTATTGGTTCAGTCATCAGCTGGTCCTCCTCGAACACCACACCCAATGTCTGCTATTACCCCACTTTGCAGCTGAGAAAATTGAGGCTGAGAACCATAGGAGCTGCCTGGGGTGACTTTGGACATACCTGACTCCAGGTGGTCCAGGTGCCAGGGGTCGGTGGCGGCCGACATGGGCGAGATGGTCAGCGGGGAGGCCCCGCAGTTGGACTCCACGAGCTGGCCCTGCACGTGCACCTGGGCGGACACGTTGGTCTGGCGTAGGGCGGCTTTAAGCGGGGCAACCTGGTTGAACTGCACCCTGGACAGGCAGCCGGTGAAGCCAGGTGTGTTGTACTTGTGGATCTCAGGGTCAATCCTCCCCGTTTCTACAAGAAAAGAGAAGAAATGTTAAAGTCGTTGCCAGGTGTTGTGAGGTCAGCTCTGACTGGGCGACCAAGGTGCAGCCAAAGGAAACCCCGGCCGGCCATGTGGTGCCAGCCTCAGGCTCAGCACACGCAAGCCCATCGCTGCAGCCGCTGTTGGTCCACTTCACTTGGCTCTCTTTCACTGACCCTCCCATCACCCAAGTCTCCTTCTTCAGGGATCTGTCCATCCTGATAACATTCCAAACTAGAAATGGTTCTCACATCCACGACTCTCTGTTTTAGTCAGATGCTCTACAGAGCTGGAGGAAAGCCCTGCACGAGACGGACTGCACCATGGATGGATGCAGCGATGGGCTCAGGACTGGCCAGTGTCTCCTCTGTCCCATGCAAGTGGGCAGTGAGATTTCACCTCAGCACATGTGGCAATAGCAGCCAAGAAATCCAAGCACCTATTTCATTGTGCAAATGGGAAGGATCTCTTTGAAGTGCTAAAAAGCAAGGATGTTAGTTTCAAGACTAAAGTGTGCTTGGCCCAAGTTATGATATTTTTAACTGCTTCATATGCATGTGGAATCTGGACATGAATAAGGACCACAGATTAAGCCTTCTGAACCATGATGCTGGTGAAAGACATGGACTATCCCTTTGTCTGTGGTTCTCCTGGAGGGCTCCATACACCAGCCTTCTTGTAGTGTGCCACTGAGTAGGAACTGACTCAGAGCTGACCGCCTGGCAGGTTGTCAGAAGCATGTACATCACAGGGGAAAGACTGCCCATCTTTGTACCATGAAGCAGCTGGCAGTTTTGAACTACCAGCCTTTGGTATGACAGTACAACTACTTATCCACTAGGCCACCGGAGCTGTCATTAGCTGAATGAAAACTGGGCCACAGGCACCTTTTAAAGGACACAGTTCTGTGTCTAATGAAAAACCCCAGAACCAGTGAGTTGGGCAGTGCAGGAGCCCCTCTGTCGGGTCCAGCCTCTGCCAGATGGGCATAGCAGTAGGGTGACAGGATGGGAGGGGGAAATGCCACCCCTCCTCAGAGCCAAGCAGCCCCACAGTTAGGGCTTTCTCTGTTTTTACTAAGGTTCTGTGCCTTGTTGACTCTGCATTTTAAATACCTCATCCTGTCCACGCACTCACAGGAGCTACAGTCACCTGCTCTGAATTACGGACAAGCTGGTGAGCCAGGAACACACAGGTGAAGCCACAGCTCTTAACACGAAGGCCTGGGGGTCCAGGTGGAGCACTCAGCCAGTGCTTTGGGCTGCTAACTGCAAGACTGGAGGTTCATGTCCACCCCTTGGAGAGCGCAGTCCTGCTGCCCCATGTACTGCGCCATGGCCAGAGTGATTCCCATGTCCGCTGCCTTCAGGTCACTGTCAACAATAGGGGCCCTACTGAAAGCAACGAAATCAGGGCTAGCATTTCAGCTCCGACAGCTCCAGCTCCACGCTGGTTCCTAGCGGGGCACCCCTCCCCACAGTCTGGCCATGGCTCTTCCATCTCCATTCGGAATGCATGAACCCAAGTCCTGCCACACGAAGAAGACAGACACCTGTTCCCAGGGTCACTCCTCTCAGTCTCACGATGCTGGCTTTTTTAAGGACCAATGAAGCTTGAGATAGATACTTTAGGAGGCCATCGCACTAGCCCGACGTCTTTGATGGAGGTGTGGACCCAGGTTCATGTTCACCTGTATCTATGATGGTGTGGATGCAGGTTCATGTTCACCTGTATCTATGATGGTGTGGATCCAGGTTCATGTTCACCTGTATCTATGATGG